AGAGAATATATTATTAGGATAAAGAGAAGCATGAAATTTCATAATTTTTTCATTCCGGGCTTTTGAATTTTTTCTCTTTTTCTTGTATTTCCTCTTGTCTCTATATTGCTCTGTCCTCGTTACTTATTGTTTTCTTCTTTGAGATTTGTCCTAACATGAAACCCAATTTCCATTTTGATCTTGAGATTGTCGGAAATTGCTATTTTTACTCTGAAATTGTGTATTTTTACCTTGCGACAACTCAGAATTCTAATTTTACATTTCTTTGATTCCATGCTCTTGAATTTTTATTATTTTTGTATTCCAGGTTTTCTTCATTTTTCTCTTCTAGTGTGAATAAATATTCTGTATGTTTTTATTAAGCCTGGAATAGAGAATATATTATTAGGATAAAGAGAAGCATGAAATTCCATAATTTTTCCATTCCAGGCTTTTGAATTTTTCCCTTTTTTTTGTGTATTTCTCCTGACTCAGAATTGCTCTGTCCTCAGATTGTTCGTTATTTATTGCTTTCCCTTTGAGATTTTTCCTGATGGATGAAGGAGTGATGAGAACGACTGGTAAGTTTCAATTTCTCACCAATTTTCTGTTTATTTTGTCTATTTTGAGAGTCAAAAGTTACGAGTGATAATATGCAGATTTCCATCAATTTGAGAAATGGACACACACGGACTTTACCAATCACTTCCTATTTGCCAGGGCTTCTGTAAGCCATCTAGATTTTCTCAGTAAATACCTTCTACATTTTCCCATTTCGATAGGTTCTTCTAATGTTTGAGTTTTTGACGTTTCATTTCAAGTATTGTTCCGGTGCTGTTTTAGTTTTGTATTTTCAAATGATTTTATAAATAATATGTCATTTTTAGTCCTAACCACTCTATAATACCCAATCAAATTCCTCGTTTTCATGTGAAAGCTAGCACATCTTTTTGATACTGCTTTTCATATTCAATTGTCCAAGTCAGCAATTTTCTCTAAAACAACGCATACCCACTGATTTGTTGATTTTACTCAAGTTACAAGATAAATATTGTGTCATTATGAAACACTCTAGTGGATAATCAACGTGTGAAACGTTTTTAAAAACAAAAAACTGGAAGATGATGGGTGATTTTACCGTGAAATATGAGGCCATTAAAAATCATATACCGTGACCGTTCCTAGAGAAGAAACAATGCGATTATCACCTTAAAACCGCAATACATACGACATTTAAAAAAGCCGCCAGGGCTTAAAAACAAAGCGCCCTTATCTGAAAAACTTACATCTAAACGACTTTTTTTTATGTTTTATGCGTGATAATGCAGGTACTAACATTTTTTGGAATTTATTGTTGATGCGCCACTGTTTCTAAACATTTATAATATTTCTCCAGATATGTATTACATAATGGAGCGGTAAATAATCATTTGAATACGCTTGCGTAGTGTACGACCAACGAGCTAAAAGCTACTTAAATATTGTAATTAATAATAGATACGACAAATAGGCAAGAGGCGTGACGACCGAACTGGTATAGACACTGGTTGGAATTTGACTGGGCAATAAACAATTATTTATTTTGCATTAATTATTAAAATTTATTTTGTTTGATATTTTCGTGTTTATGAGAATTTTGCTGATTTTTAATTGAAATGAAACTTAATCCACAATACATCCAAATAGGTAGCTCATTTGAGTTTTAAAACTTTAGTGTATCTAATTTCAATGTTGAGGAGTTTTTGAACTTTTTGGGTACCCCTCAATGGCCTCAAGTTCTTTGGAAGGTTAATACGTGTATAAGCTAACCGTTGAAGAACCTGTAGCTATTTATAGAGCTTTAGAGTACAAGGTAACTGCAAGGTCAGTGCAGCTAGTGCAGGGTCAGTACAGCTAGTGTAAGCTCAGTCTCAATTTAAGCAGAAAACCCCCTTGGACATTTTGATGTTTGCTTGAAAAACTAGTCAGAAACAAATTTTTGAATTTCTGAAATATGAAGAAAAAGAAAAGAAGCTCTTCACACTAAGAGTTTTAATTGGTTTGCTGAAAAACGACCACCTAAGAAATTCTATACAATTAACTTTGAAATCCAATTTAAGCAAATGAGATCCTCGGGCATTTTGGTGTTTTCTTGAAAAACTAGTCAGGGACAAACTTTTGAATTTTTGAAATATGAAGAAGAAGAAAAGAAGCTCTTCACACTGAAAGTTTGAATTGGTTCGCTGAAAAACGACCACCTGAGAAATTCTATAAAATCAACTTTGAAAATCCAATTTAAGCAAATTAGATCCTCGGACATTTTGGTGTTTTCTTGAAAAACTACTCAGGGACAAACTTTTGAATTTTTGAAATATGAAGAAGAAGAAAAGAAGCTCTTCACACTGAAAGTGTGAATTGGTTCGCTGAAAAACGACCACCTGAGAAATTCTATAAAATCAACTTTGAAAATCCAATTTAGGCAAATTAGATCCTCGGACATTTTGGTGTTTTCTTGAAAAACTACTCAGGGACAAATTTTTAAATTTTTGGAATATGAAGAAAAAGAAAAGAAGCTCTTCACACTGAAAATTTGAATTGGTTTGCTGAAAAACGACCACCTAAGAAATTCTATACAATTAACTTTGAAATCCAATTTAAGCAAATGAGATCCTCGGGCATTTTGGTGTTTTCTTGAAAAACAAGTCAGGGCCAAACTTTTGAATTTTTGAAATATGAAGAAGAAGAAAAGAAGCTCTTCACACTGAAAGTTTGAATTGGTTCGCTGAAAAACGACCACCTGAGAAATTCTATAAAATCAACTTTGAAAATCCAATTTAAGCAAATTAGACCCTCGTACATTTTGGTGTTTTCTTGAAAAACTATAGTCAGGGACAAATTTTTGAATTTTTGGAATATGAAGAAGAAAAAAAGAAGCTCTTCACACTGAAAGTTTGAATTGGTACGCTGAAAAACGACCACCTAAGAAATTCTATACAATTAACTTTGAAATCCAATTTAAGCAAATTAGATCTTCGGTCATTTTGGTGTTTTCTTGAAAAACTATAGTCAGGGACAAATTTTTGAAATTTTGGAATATGAAGAAGAAAAAAAGAAGCTCTTCACACTGAAAGTTTGAATTGGTACGCTGAAAAACGACCACCTAAGAAATTCTATACAATTAACTTTGAAATCCAATTTAAGCAAATTAGATCCTCGGGCATTTTGGTGTTTTCTTGAAAAACTATAGTCAGGGACAAATTTTTGAAATTTTGGAATATGAAGAAGAAAAAAAGAAGCTCTTCACACTGAAAGTTTGAATTGGTTCGCTGAAAAACGACCACCTGAGAAATTCTATAAAATCAACTTTGAAAATCCAATTCAAGCAAATTAGATCCTCGGATATTTTAGTGTTTTCTTGAAAAACTAGTCAGAGACAAATTTTTGAGTTTTTTAAATATGAAGAAGAAGAAAAGAAGCTCTTCACACTGAAAGTTTGAATTGGTTCGCTGAAAAACGACCACCTGAGAAATTCTATAAAATCAACTTTGAAAATCCAATTTAGGCAAATTAGATCTTCGGTCATTTTGGTGTTTTCTTGAAAAACTATAGTCAGGGACAAATTTTTGAATTTTTGGAATATGAAGAAGAAAAAAAGAAGCTCTTCACACTGAAAGTTTGAATTGGTTCGCTGAAAAACGACCACCTAAGAAATTCTATACAATTAACTTTGAAATCCAATTTAAGCAAATGAGATCCTCGGGCATTTTGGTGTTTTCTTGAAAAACTAGTCAGGGACAAACTTTTGAATTTTTGAAATATGAGGAAGAAGAAAAGAAGCTCTTCACACTGAAAGTTTGAATTGGTTCGTTGAAAAACGACCACCTAAGAAATTCTATAAAATCAACTTCGAAAATCCAATTCATGCAAATTAGATCCTCGGACATTTTGGTGTTTTCTTGAAAAACTACTCAGGGACCAATTTTTGAATTTTTGTAATATGAAAAAGAAATTCTTCACACTGAAAGTTTGAATTGGTTCGCTGAAAAACGACCACCTGAGAAATTCTATAAAATCAACTTTGAAAATCCAATTTAGGTAAATTAGATCCTCGGACATTTTGGTGTTTTCTTGAAAAACTGGTCAGGGACAAATTTTTGAGTTTTTGGAATATGAAGAAGAAGTAAAGAAGCTCTTCACACTGAAAGTTTGAATTAGTTCGCTGAAAAACGACCACCTGAGAAAATCTATAAAATCAACTTTGAAAATCCAATTTAAGCAAATTAGATTCTCGGACATTTTGGTGTTTTCTTGAAAAACTATTGAGGGACAAATTTTTGGAATATAAAGAAAAAGAAAAGAAGCTCTTCACACTGAAAGTTTGAATTGGTTAGCTGAAAAATGACCACCTGAGAAATTCTATAAAATCCAATTTAAGTAAATTAGATCCTCGGACATTTTGGTGTTTTCTTGAAAAACTAGTCAGAAACAATTTTTGAAATTTTTCTGATAAAACGAAGAAGGAAAGAAGCTCTTCATACCAAAATTTTCAATTCAAGTTTAGTTTCTTTTTTAAAACAAAAGCGGAAAAAATAATAATAAAAGAAACAGTGGGAAAATTGCAGAGAATATGAAAAAATCAAAAAGCATTGGAAAAAAGCTGAGAAAAGATCGGAAAAATTAGCAAGTACCACTAGAAATAAATGACTAACATTTCAAGCTCCATATAACACTAAAAAGGTGAGAACTGGGAAAAACAAACAACACTCCCTTTAACCCTTCAAAAAGGCGCCACCCAAAATTACACTCCAAGTATTTCAACACGTTTTATTATTTTTACGATCCTGACGCTTTCGAAAACCCGCTAAACTATTATGATAATTTTAAAAATGTCACTCCAAGAGGATTTTCTCTAGTTTTATCACCGGAATTATTTTCGGATTTAGTTTTATTACCGGTTTTATCGCTAGTTAAAGAAGCTACGATCAGTTCATAAAATTTAACATAAAATATATAACGGTTTATTGAAACAAAGGGATAAATACCTGGTCACATTGCACTCGGATTCTTTGCTGACGATGACGATGGTGACAAAAATGGATGTTTAATAAAATAGTCCATAATCTGAAAAAAAGAGAAATAGATCAAATAAAATATGGAGTGAAGTAGATCTAAAAGAAAAATATCACTTGTTTTTAAACAAAATTTTCCTATAAGAAAAAAATACGCCTTCACAAATCAATTATTATTCAACTTCCGTATAATTTACAATGTTTTTTAATTACATCAGAATTTGTTTATGGTATGTTATCGATGCACATTAAAATAAAACTTATATGTTAATTGTTAGGATTATGATTATATTTAAAATAATAACAGGTTAGTAAAGTAATTAGTATAAGTGGATAATAATATTTATTAGGTGTATATAGTATAAAACATGTAAATCCGTTGAGTTATTTCATGAAAATAATGCCTCAGCAATGCAAAAAAAAGAAACTCAAAAAACACCTTTACATATGTTATTCTTGAGATGTCATTGACTAAGTACCACTTGTCACTGGGACTAAGCAATCTGAAAGTAGTATAGTACCGTACTTAAGTACTGGAACACTTCAACTCGAGAATTTCATTTCTTCAGTAATGTTTTCTTTTTATTTTAAAGCTATTGTGGACGAAATATTAATTAATTCCCACAGGAAATTTTCTCAAACCAATGTCCAATAATCACAATTTTGATATCATCATAAAACCGTCAATAAAATTATGAGAACTTATCCGGAAACGGTTTATCATTAAATCATTGATCATCGATCATTACGTACGTTAATTCACCTGTAATGCGGTTCCCTGTTATTTGCACCGCCTAAGTAAAGTGGACGAGGTTGGTGCAAGCGAAATTTCGTTAAATGTCTGCTTATTTTATCGTGCTGGTGATCTTATGAGGCGGAGATACTTTTGGTTTTCGTGAGACTTGTGAGAACAATAATAATTTATTTACCTACTGAAATTATTCATACATAATTGTTTAATAATAACGCCTCTTTGCCATATCTACGAAGGTGCTTCCAAAAATAATCAATGAAAAATTTGCAAAATTTAGGTTTCCTTAAACAGCTTGGCAATGTTGCTAATTTATAATTCGACTGTAGCAAATTTATATAAATGTTTCCTTTCAAAAATACGGTGCTGCCATAATTTCCGAAATCAGGTAGATTGAGTGTTTCTATTGAACGCTCTGTATATAAATTTACCTTCAATGGTCTAGAAAACTGTAAAGTTGACAACATTGCAAAATTTTCTCAAGCCAGTTCTGAAATATGAAACTGTTCTCGGACTTTTACGAGACCATGTTGTATATAGTAAAGTTGGCAAACATGTATAATAAATGTTTACACCTTTCTTAGACAGGGTTTCCCTTCATAACCTGACACATTTTGCAGGTCATGCAGGTAGAAGGAATATATAAATTTTCACATTACAAGAGTTACCCTTACTTTTTTTTCAAAAAACATCAAAATGTGATGGGGACATTTTTCTTTCATTATAGTTTTTAAAGGTTGACGTTTCAGTTTCAAATTTTGGTATAATGAGCTCGTAATTTTTCTCTTTTCAAAATATTTCTCTTAGTTGTCACTAATTTGTCCCTCACAAAATGTCTGAGGTTGTATTTTACTCAAATTCGATTTTGAAAGTGGATTTTTTGAAATTCCTCATGCTGCGTCGTTTTTCACTGAACCAATCCGAAATTTCAACAGAATGAGCTCCTTTTCTTTCTCTTTTCACCACAAAAAAATGTTGTCAGTTTTTCAAAAAACTACCAAAATGTCCGAGGATTCCGCGGGTGCATTTTGCCTAAATTGGATTTTGGAAGTTAATTTTATAGAATTCCTCTAGTGGTTGCTTTTCACTGAATCAATTCGAAATTTCAGCAGATTGAACTTATTTTCTTTCTCTTTTCACCACAAGAAATTCAACATTTTTTGTTTGTCAGTTTTTCAAAAAAAATCACCAAAATGTCTAAGGGTGTATTTTGCTCAAATTGGATTTTGAAAGTGGATTTTTTATCATGCTGTCGACAGAATGAACTCCTCTTCTTCCACTTTTCTTCCTGTTCACCCAAAAAACATCAAAATGTGAGAGGCTATTATTTTCGTTCAAAGTAAGTAGTTTTTGTAAGTTAATTTTCAGAAATTTCTTCTGTAGTTGTTTTTCAATGTATCGGTTTCAAATTTTAGCATGATAAGCTGGTAATCTTCCTGTTTTCCATTTCAGAAGTTTCAAATCATTCTCCTCACTTATTTTCCCAAAAAATATCAGAATATTATCAAGTTTTGCAGCGTAGATATGTATATCTAAAACATAATTTTTTTATGTCCGAATATAATGAATTCAATTCTATGTACAGGTTCTGAATAATCATACAGTTTCCTATGTACAGTTTTTGAATCATCATAAAGTTTCCTATGTACAATTTTTGAATAATCATACAGTTTTGTATATTTTTGTATAGTTCTCCATTCGTAGGTCGAGTTGCCTTGTTAAGGGCCAAATTATGGACTGACTGGTAAACGTCTGGTTGTTACCTAGCAGGTACTTTCTATGCACTAGAGAATAGAAAGTACCTGCTAGGTAACAACCAGACACTTACCAGTTGGTCCATAATTTGGCCCTTAAGAGATAAAGCATTAGGGTACCTATACTCAATTAATTATTTTAACTACGTTATTCCAAATCATTAAATCATTAGAGTGTATTAGACTATGAAAACTTGCATTAGAAAATCAACTACTTATAAGAAATAGTTTATTAAGATTAATACAACACATGAGATATTCCTATTGAATATGCACTATCTATGGGATGCCCCATATTTGGTTCTATATTCTTGAAGAGCACAATTTCCCGATGCCAAAACTTCATAGTTTGTTTATATTTAGTTGAGCCGGCTTCAATGTATTTGGTTCTAAAAATTTTAAAAATACTATCAGAGAAACCAAGTACCTACCTCAAATTTTACCTGCAGCTTTTACCTGTGCAGGTGAAATGGTTCATAAAATCAGTATAGTAGAATAGTATTTTTACAATTTTTGAGCTGAATATTTGAGAGACTGTTCAATCAAATATAATCAAACTATATATTTTTGGAATCGGGGCATTGTGCTCTTCAAGAATATAGAATGAAATAGAGTGCATCTCATTTGAAAAAAGCTAGAAGCATGCAAAATTTCACATTTCTGACATTCAAATTTTGTTTCTGTCCATGGTTTCTAAAAATTCAGCCAAAACTGTACAACTTTTGTATTTACACCCTTTTTCTACCTGTAAAGGTAAAGGTGGTAGGCAGGGTGTTAATATATAAAAAAATCACCCTATACAAATAAGTGGATTATTGCGGAACTTATGGGTGAACCTCTGCGGGACGAGCGCAGCGAGTTCCGCAGCTATCTACTCACCAATATAGGTACTGTTGAACTGTTAAAAAAAAACACTCACCTGAAACGTGTAGTAGTTTTTGAACTAATGAGAAAAATTCATAACTGAGTGAATCAGGTTAGTATTGTACTTGTACTTGAACAATATATTGGTAAATAGATGGCTGGGTCCACCCATAAGTTCCGCAACAATCCACTCATTTGTACTTGAATAACTTGTCACAATATATTTCTAGTTTGGTAAAGTATAGGAATTAGTAATAATTCCTGTTGAAAGGCGAATTGACAAAAAGTGGAAAATCTTACAAATTCTGACTTTATATAAGTTATTGTTCAAGTACAAATGAGTGAATTGTTGTGGAACTTATGGGGGGACCTCTGCGGGACGAGCGCAGCGAGTTCCGCAGCCATCTACTCACCAATATACTGTATTGAACTGTTCAAATAAGATACTCACCTGAAACGTGTACTTTTTAAACTAATGAGAAACTCATCGTAATTAAGCAACATATTGATTAATATATGGCTGCGGAACCCGCTGCGCTCGTCCCGCAGAGGTCCACCTATAAGTTCCACAACAATTCACTCATTTGTACTTGAATAACTTGTCACATTATGTTACTAGATTGGTAAAGACAAAAAGTGAATAATCATAATCTTACAAATTTTGATTTTATATAATAGGTTATTGTTCAAGTACAAATAAGTGGATTGTTGCGGAACTTATGGGTGGACCTTTGCGGGACGAGTGCAGCGAGTTGCGCAGCCATCTAGGTACCCATTTGTACTTGAACAACAAGTTGAATATTTATAGACGTACTAAAGAAATTGTTTTAGTAATCTTAACCAAAAGCCGAGAATAGACAAAAATTGATCAGGGATAATTGAGAAAGAAATAAGGCTCTTGAGTTTTCTTTATTTAAACAAATTCAAAAATCGGAACAAAAAAAAAATCGATTTCAAACAAAATATCGTATCAAAAATATCGATATTTTTTCATACTAGTAACGATATAGAAAAGAAGTACATATGGCCATTTACAGCAACCGTTTTAAGGAAGTCTTAGCCATAGGTATTCCCTAAAATGGCATTTCGACATGGAGAAATGTCACTTGGTACAAACGTGCTTCAATGAGCTTCAATTCCCAAATTAACACCAAATAGGTACACTATTTTCCCAACAATCGTTCAAAAAGTACATACTTTCCGGCCGTATTTCACCTTCTGGCCTAGGCAGGAAAAAATATACGTCCTTAACTAAAACGTGTCCGGAAAGTGTGTAATTTCGACAGTTTTCTTGGCTCAATTTTTGTCTATTCCCGGCTCTTGAATCTTTCCTAAATTTCTCCGAATAAAGAGAATTCAAGAGCCCGGAATAGAAACAACATTCGAATGTGTAATGTAAGTTCAGTGTTACACATAAACGTGCGCAATCTTGACTTTACCAAACCGACAAAACGAATCCAAGTCTGACATGATAATTTCCACTAGAAAATCTACATAATTTCCATACTTCTATGGAAAATGTCGAAACTCTCGGAGCCTTTAAAAAAAAAAAAAAAAACCTTCTTCCTGTCATTACAGAAATTTACGACATTTTGAGTGGTCACAACTCACAACTCCGTGTGGAAGCAACTAAACCAAAAAATAGACGGCATTTACAGCTACCAAACCAAAATCTCGGACAAC